CAGCTATACCACTCCTAGGCATATACCCAGAAGATGCTCGAACATATAACAAGGACATATGCTCAACTATGTTCATAGCAGCCTTATTTATAATAGCCAGGAGCTGGAAAGAACCCAGATGTCCTTCAACTGAGGAATGGATTCAAAAAATGTGGTATATTTACACAATGGAGTATTACTCAGCTATTAAAAACAATGAATTCGAGAGGTTCCTAGGTAAATGGATGGAACTAGAAATTATCATCCTGAGTGAGGTAAGCCAATCACAAAAGAAGACACATGGTATTCACTCACTGATTATTGGATATTAGCCTAGAACCTTGAAATGCCCAAGATGCAACTCACAGGCCACATGAAGCCCATAAAGAAGGAAGACCAAGTGAGGGTGATTCGGTCCTTCTTAGAAGGAGCAACAAAATACTCAAGGGAGCAAATATGGAGACAAAGTGAGGGACAGAATCTGAAGGAGGGGCCGTCTCAAGACCACCCCACCTGAGTATCTATCCCATGTGCAATCACCAAAGGTAGATGCTGATGTGGAAGACAGGAAGTGCATGCTGATAAGAGCCTGATATGGATATCTCCTCAGAGGCCTTCAAGAGTCAGACATATTCAGAGGCAGATGCTCACAACTAGCCATTGAACTGATCATGGGGTTCTCAATAGAGGAGTTAGAGTGAAGACTGAAGGAGCTGAAAGGGTTTGTGGCACCATGAGGAGAGCAACAATACCAACCAACCACAGCTCCCAGGGTCTAAACCACCAGCCTGGGAGCACTTAGGGGGGGATCCAGGGCTTCAGCTGAATATGTAAAAGTGGAGGGCCCTGCTGGGCATAGGTGGAAGAAGAGAACCTTGACCTCATGAAGGCTGGATGCCCCAGGGGGTGGGAATTTTGAGGGTGGGGAGGTGGGAGTGGGGGGGTGTAGATAGGGGTTACATCCACAGAGAAGAAGGAGGAGGGGCGAGGGGATTGGGGGTTCCGAGGGGGTGGTGGGGGATGGGATAAGGGGACAACATAGGAAATGTAAATAAATCATCCAATAAAAAAAATAAATAAAAACAAAATAAAAAAAAAAGTACATAACGGGTATAGTTATTCTGAAAGGCAGACTCATTTTCTTGTGCTACTTCCGTTAAGGATTCAGCAACTTTACGTGTCAGGGGGTTGGTTTATATGCTGCATGGAAAATTGCTGCAAATTTAAGGCTTATCTCAGAGCTATAATAAAGCGGCTTATGTTCTAAGTCTTCATGTCGTAAATAGGTCCAGAAGGGATTTAAAAAGCCTTAATCCTTTCCTTAATACAACACAAGTCACTGAAGTGAAACTTCCTGGAAGGATTCCTTTTATCTTAGGCAACAGGTAGCTTAATGTATCTGCTGGAATTCAAATACAGGGATTTCTTTGCTTGGGTGTGTGGGGTGGGTAATAAGTTTTTTTCTGAATTCATTCAGAAGTATTAAAAATATTAAAATGTCACACCTGTATGACTGTCAAAACTGGAACAGTTGGTTATATAGAATGCTTTATATTTCTAAACTATTGAAACAACATTCCATTCTGTGAATACAAACATGTCATTTGTATTTTATTGACTGTTGATGTGGCTTGGTAGTCAGTTGTGCAAACCATGCAGCTTTTCTCTGGTTCTTCAGATGATAAGAAGGAAATACTGTCTCTGAAACGCTACAACATTCTCTACATTTTGACATCTGGTCCTAAGAGAAATATATGCAGTGAGGCAACACTTTTTAAACAGGCCAAACTGGCAAAATCCTACCTGTTAACTTGCTATAATCCTTCTCTAAATTAATATACCATATTTATTACCAGTCTGATAAGGGAGCCTACCACAAAAGCTATGTCTTTACTTATAAATATATTTAAATTATTATACTCGGTATTCTATTGTTTCTTAAAAATAAAAAAGAGAAAGCGAATATTAAAGAGCAAGCAACTGATCAGGTAGTTTACAATACATTTAAATTAAAGGAATAAAAAGATATACATATTTGTGTGTATAATTATTCATAAATACATTAAAAACTATAACAAAAATAATAAAAGACTGAAAATTAGAAGTATGAAAATTTTTCTTTACTTAAATATATCAACCTATAGGAGTTTTCCCTTAACTATCAAGTATAATTTAAATATACATACATATATATACATATATATGTATAAATACACACATATACACACACTTGCATATGTATATGTGTATATGTATAAAATCATGGCTAACAATAATTTTTTTAGAACAGTAGTAGATGAATATAGTTATGTTAAATGAACAATTAAAATGAACCCGCCTGAGCCCCATGTATTCACTACCTCCAATGTACTGTGCTCTGTACAAGGTGCTGGATACAGACAATAATAGAATAATAAAAAATCATAAATGCAGCTTTCTCCTTTGAGAATTCTGTCCTGTGAAGAACGGATAGAAACGATTGTGTGTACTCACTCATGGAGTCAAATATGCATATCAGAATAGGTCTACGAAGATCAATAGTATGAAAAAATCGGAGACTATAAGGAAGGAAGCTTATTATAGATTGCATAGGCAGGAAAGGACTTTTCATTACATCAGCGATTAAGAGAAGATTCAAAAAGCAAATTTAATGTCGTGTAAGGAAGGACATTCCCAGGAGACCTTGAAGCAAAAATAAGGAGACAGGTGACTTTATGACTCTCATTCAAGAAAAACAAGGAGACAGGATTAAATGTGTTGAACTTTGCAGAAGGTGTGAATATTCACCAGATACCTAAGGGGTACCGATAGAGACTGCTGTTGAAGAGCCTGAGCCTGTTTTGTTCTCATTAAAATTAGACTCTACTGAGAGGTTTAAAGGAAGGTATCAAGGGTGATTTTTTTTCTCCTAAAAAAGAGATTTCTAACTCCTGTTTATAGCCTTGTTTTAAAATAAGTAACTTGATAGATGTTCTTCAAGCAGCTGAGGTAAGTGGCATTGCTCTCTTCAGCCGGGCACGGCTGGTGCAGAGGATCAGAAATGGAAAATAAATGAGGGAAAATGTATGCCTTTATAAATTGTGTCCTTATAAAGGAATTGGAACAAGGTTTATTAATTCGGAATGGAATAAAGACTCTGGAACCCTTCAGCACTGACCTGATCTACTTGTGAGCATTATTAGGAGAAATGTAGCAAAAGCTAGACTTAATTTACATAGTCTTATGGTCAACAGCAGCAGGCATGGACACATGAGCATCATCCTGTATGACACATAAGAAGATGCTACTCCTTACATAGGCTCATGATCAACAGCAGCAGGAATGGACACATGAACATTATTATTTTATCACATATTAAAAGGTGTCATGAGAAAGCATCACCCATGAATTTGCTGATCTAGGTTTAAGATTGGTAACGCCTTTTTATTTATTTAAAAACAATCATTATTTTTATCATTCCTGATAAAAATTATTATAAGAGATCCAACTCCAATAGTTTTTTTAAAAAAATTTTTTAAATGTATCCTTCTATAAAAATTTCCAATGTGATTACCTTGTTGGAAATACCACTAAGGTATTTGTGTATATGACTACGAAGTTTAGGAAGATATGTATTTATTTTCAGATATCTTCCTGTCCACACATGCACTTGTTTGCACTGTGCTCATAAAACAATCATTTTCAGGAAACTGTCATCTTCTGTTCTTATTTTTATTAAATTAATAAATGGATCAAGATTTATTTCATGCTGTTATGTCTCTGAAAACTTTTAAATGCTATATAGCAATTACGACGTCTTACAAATTCCACTGCAGTGTTTATTTGTTAGGCTAATCTACATTGAGGCAAATTAAAAATATTTCTACTAGTGTTCTAAAAGCAAAGTTTTCTTTATTAATTTTCTTACTGTCTCATTGAGCATATCAGTTTGTTACAAATACATAAAATTTCTATTTAACTCTTAATTCTAATAGATTTAATGGCTATAAGCTAACTTTTTGGAATGAGTAGATTCTTTTGTAAAATACTCAATATTAAATTCTGTTCTCTTCCAAATTTCTTCTCTCAGTTGAAATGCACATATTCTAGAACTATAACACAGCCATGTAATAGATATCAGAACCAAGGTCACACCACTGTTTTTCATTTGTATGACCATATGAAGATAATATTTAGTAGTTAAACATATTTTGTTGCGTTAACAATAGAATTATATCAAGAGCATGCTAAGTATTGCATTTGATATTACTTTTCTGTGTTGAGACAGGGAGCAGGGATGTGTTTGTAAGAATTGTACTATGTTAAATTCATTATCTGTTTCATTTACAAATAGCCTACTTTAGTTCTTGCTTACACAGAAGTTAAGCACACACACACATGCATGCACATTTACACACACACACACACACACACACACACACACGACAGTTTTATTCAGTTAGGAGTCTGTTGGAGGTTTTTTCTCATACCTTCTTTAACCTTGGTAAAGCTATTAAACATCTTTGCAGCGCATGCTCCTCACACAGTTGCTCACCTGTGAGATGAGATGCTTGCATGGCTTATAAGGATTATGTTGGCACTAACCTGTTTTGATTCCATGAAATGAAAAGTTAATGAATTGGCTTTGGTAACTTTATTTATAGCACAAATATTAAGAGGACAGAACTCATTCTTGGCATCTTGTAAATTTCCATTTGTTCCATGGGACTAATCATTTAGAAAGAAGTCATTTTGGAAATGCTGTCTGATTTAGGTATGGGCAAAAGTCATGAGTGGAGACATTCCATTTTGGATTGAACTCAGAACTCTTCAAAACACTGGTGCCCATTTGAGAGTATCACTTGGCTATTCATGTGTGCAACTCTGTTAATTAAAACAAGTATGATCATACTCTATTAAATACAGCAGACCAAACTGCACTGGAGTGAGCTGTAGAAAGCCTTGCTGAACGTGAAATCCCCATACCCTGTGTCTCCAGACTGAGACCTTGAGTGAATTTGACACCCTCTGTCTGTTTCTAGATCTCCGCATCAGAAGACAGCACTCCTCTGAAAGTGTCTCTAGTATCAACAGCGCCACGAGCCATTCCAGCATTGGCAGTGGTAATGATGCCGACTCCAAGAAAAAGAAGAAGAAAAACTGGGTAAGGCATTTTTTTCCTCATCATATTCAGAACCTGTGACAGGTCAGGGACTTAGCTTTCCTTCTTTGGGGACAATAGAAATCTCCAGCTGTTGGAGGGCTCTGTTCAGGGACCAGCATCTCAACCCCTTTACTTCTCCTAAGATTAGGGAGACAAGGTTGTGAAGAGCCTGTATGCCAGAGCTAGGGCTGAGAGCAAGACGGTATTATCATGATGGGGAAGAGGAGGAAGATGTTGATTAGGATTGACTATGGTAGAATTGGTGATAGGAGAGGGAAAGGCAGATTGAAGGTGGTAAAGAAAAAAGGAGAAATGTTAAAATTTCAGCCTTCCCAACCATTGGATTCTACAGAGTATAAAGTGAATAAAGCACCCAGCCCATAAGAAATCAACTATATTGCTTTCTATTGATTATATATAATATGTGTATATTTAATACATAATATATATGTGTGTATGTGTATATATAGAAATATATATATATATATATATATATATATATATATATATATATATATATATACCCAACAGAGTATAATAGGAATACAGAAATGGATCATAGTAGGCATTCAGAAATGAACTTTAAAAGAACCATTTCTTAAATTTACTGGAGATATTTTTGAATAATTTCTGACAATATTAATCCACCACTAAAAGCAAAAACCTTGGGACAGTCAGGAACAGAATTTCTATCAGTAGCTTGAGACAAAAGTCATCATCGACCTAGATGTAACCTTCGATTAAACTCAAAGCTAGTTGAGACTTTAACTGGTGTTTTCTGTAAATAATGCAAACAAATATCTTTTTGTCTTAAAAAAATGTTTATGCAGGTAATATTTTAAAATACTGATCAGCCTTCATTCCCTTGATTTGTAATTCCACACTCTTTCATGTTTCTGCAAGGTGAACTCTAGAGGAAGTGAGGTGAATATGAACGGTGGACATTTGGCATGCATCTATACGAAACACCCTACCTTGGCATGAATGCTATTCATTTTGGCAGCAGGCTTTTATACTTTTTAGAAATCAGAATACTTTGTATGTCTTTCCTTTGTGCCTTTTCATTTTAATCTCAAATTTTAAAGAGAAGCAAAAAACACTCTGAATAGAGCCGTAGGGGATACCAATTCTGTTTCTGAATAGTCTTGGAATTGGAAATTTGAATAGAGAAAAAAAAATCACAATTAATGAAGCCTTGGGTGAATTTGGTTTCATTTTTGCTTTTTAAGTTTGTACTGTCAGCAGGATATAACTTGATTGTACTGCTAAAGTGGCCATTTAAAACAAATTGCCTTGAAGAGAGAAGCCTTGGGAAGAGAGATCCCTTCAAGGTACTTAGTTTTAAATGAGTGCTCTGAAGGCAATGCCCTTGACCATGCACTATTTAAAAGCCCTCCATGTTTGCGCTGCGCTGGATTAATCCAAGAACAAAGGGAAACACAGAACACAGTATTTAGTGTTCTAGGGATACTGTGCTGCCATTGTTAAAACTCTGCTTTCATATACTGACCCCAGGCAGTGGCTAGGATGGCACCTGCAAACTAACGCCCCCAAAGCCGATTCCCCCAAGTTCGGATGACAAAAAGCATAACTGTCTGTACTTCTTGCAGCTGAGAAGTTCTTTCAAGCAAGCCTTTGGAAAGAAAAAGTCCACCAAGCCACCCTCCTCGCATTCGGACATTGAAGAGCTGACAGACTCCTCCCTGCCAGCTTCCCCCAAGCTACCCCACAATGCTGGCGAGAGTGCCCCCTCACCCATGAAGCCCTCGCAGTCAGCCTCAGCGTAAGCTCCTCCCTTTGTAGAATTTTGACCTACTGTTGAAAACTGACTTCAGCCCAGGACCATGACTCTATCCTAAATCTATCCTAAATGCAGTCAAGTTCACTCTCACAAACAAAACACAGCATCTGTCTCCACCAGTCATTTCTATTCTTGCTATGGATGATGGACAATATTTGTTTCTCTTATATTTTCTGTTAGTATCTGGTGTTTTTCAATCTCGTTCTACACTCTTCTAAATCATTCTTTTTTTTTTGCTTGCATTTATCCATGTGTCTGTCTAACTGTGCATACGTGCAGGTCACCCCTTGTCTGGCCACCCAAGAAACGAAAAAATGGCCCTGTGATCTACAAACATAGATCTCGGTAAAAATGGTGTGTTGCATGAAACAGTAAAGACACAGGTTCTAACCTAGCCATGGTTTTGTTGTTGTGGTGGTTTGTTTGTTTGTTTTTTGCCTTTTCTAAAAGCATTTGCATGTGTTACAGCCTCAGGTAGTTCCTCATTTTTCAACTAAACATTACTTTCTCGAAACCAACCTAAAATCTAGTCATCTTTGGTTGCATTTGATAACGTGACATTCCTATAGTACTCAAATTTTGATAATATAAGAGGAAAATCCCACAGCATGTAAAAAGTAATTACTAAGACAATTCTATATGCTGTATAAACTACTTGATACGAATTTTCTTGTATGTGCAGTGACATAGAAAGCAGTATCACTGTGCTTTGTCCAAATGATTTCATCACTTTTATAAGGAAATACATTCTTATTTTGTGATCAACTACCCAAGTCTTCAGATTGTAAATGGAAAAGTTATTAGTTAATATAAAGAAATCTCTTGACAGATTTTTCTCTAACGCAACTATCCATAAAACTCAAGCAAAGCCATAAGGATTTATAGTACATATGATCTTGAGACTATTTGCAGCTGGGCAGCCAGCGTGGGTTGAAATCGGCAGCTTGGTTTCATTATCTGTGCTTACCTAAGTCTTCTGAATCCAACAGGAAGAGTTTATGTAACACCCATCCATTATTTAAATGTCCAAAACTAATCTCTTTAATTTATTTTCTACAATATTTATATTGGATTTTCACAGAAACCAAATGACAGCATAGCATCAAATAAGGTTATTGTTTGCACAGTTTTATAAAAGAAGGAATCAACATTCTGAGAGTATAATGATTTGGCTTTTAGAAGGGAGAATTTCATGTTACAAATGGAGGGTTAAGCCCCTTGACAAATACACAGTGATATGCACCAATGACTTCTATCCGTATCAGCCACTAGGGAAGATGACTTTTCCATTCCATACTATCCAACTGTTTTTAAACTCCAGAAAACAGGACAAAAAGGTGAAAAGAAAAATAGCTGTTTTCAGTTTTGAACCTATGAATGAGTGCTGGCAATCTCTCTCTCTCTCTCTCTCTCTCTCTCTCTCTCTCTCTCTCTCGCTCTCTCGCTCTCTCGCTCTCTCGCTCTCTCTCTCTCTCTCTCTCTCTCTCTCTCTCTCTCTCTCTCTCTCTCTCTCTCTCTCTCTCTCTCTCTCTCTCTCTCCTGTAGCTTTTGCCGGTCGCAAATAATTTCTATACCTGGTGGATTAGAATGCAATTCAGCCCTTAAAGGTATCATTCCTTTTCCTGATCGTCTGACCCTGGCCACCTATTTTGTGTTCTGTTTTTTCCATTAGGATCTGTGAGTGCACCGAGGCTGAGGCCGAGATCATTCTGCAGTTGAAGAGCGAGCTCAGGGAAAAGGAATTAAAATTAACAGATATAAGGTTGGAGGCCCTCAGCTCCGCTCACCATCTCGATCAGATCCGGGAAGCCATGAACCGGATGCAGGTCAGTGCAGCAGCTCTTTCAAGGGACAAAATGGAGAGATGGAAAAGCCAGCCTTTCCTCTTCTCTTAGTCATTAGATAAAAAATTCTACCTTTAAAATTACCGTGAAAACACAGTTATTAATTGATTGATTGATTGATTGATTGATTGCAGTCTCTGCAACTCAGCTGCTAATTACCGAATGGGGAGAATGCTCAAATCTAGGTTGTCAGTGGGATGGCAAGCAGGCAGCTATACTCAAGGATTATTCAAGATACACAGACAAGTGAATGGGTTCAGGCAGGGAGTTAAGGTTTAAGAAATTACTATGATGTTTGTTTCTTTCCTTTCTGACCAGCTACTTTCGTGTTAGTTCTTAAATGACGTTGTTTTGAAATCTGACTTTTACACATTTTCTATTAAAAGACGAAAATGATTAATACCAATAGTAATGATGATGATGATGATGATGATGATGAAAATGAGAGGTGTTCATCACAAGGTTTAGGAGATGGAAGCAGAAGTTATTCCAAATGCTGTCTGTGACCCCAAAGCTTCTGCCTCTTCAGAAGCATCTATGGTGTTAAGTTCAGTAAGGGTCTGTGCTCTGTCCCTTTCCATTTTATTCCTGTAAAGCAGTAATGGTTCCCCAGACTCTGGAAAGACGAGAAGCAAATGCTAAGCAGGTTTGCCTACTGCTGTAGAGGGTAACAGAAAGGTTTCTGTAGTTTGTATGAGTGTAGGACCCTGCTCCGCAAAACGCCAACGTTCCCCTTTGTTAGCTAGGATGTTTAAGAAGTTTAAATCACCTTATCATTGACTTTGCTTTGCTTGGTTTGTCTACTTTGCACGAATCCACAGAAGCACAACTGGTATAATTTTCCTGGGAAAGTCTAATATGATTTTTCATTTAAAAAAAGAATTTTATTGATTCTTTATGAGTTTCACCTCATGTAACCCGATCCTACTCATATCCCCGTCCCCATAAGTATCAGGGCTCACGAGCAGCTTCAGCATAAAGACTGCTCTCTGTTTTCAAGAGAACCTGAGCTCACCAACCAGCACCTAAGAGCTGTGGCTGACAAACTCCCGATACTGCAGGAGCTCACATGGGACCCGACACCTCTTGCGGATTCTAGAAGCACTGCACACAGGAGCATAAACCCACACATGTGTAAACACATATGCACACATAAATTGTTTGAAAAACATCAAAAAAGAAAAATTTGAGGAAAGATTCAGTTGCATTCTTTTTTAAGATTTAGTTTGTGCCTGTCTGGTTGAATGTATATGCACACATGTGTGCACCAGTGTATATGCAGATAAGTCAGAAGGTCAAGTGTTCTCTAACACTCTTTGCCTATTCCCTCGAGGCAGGATCTCTCCTAGAATTTACAGCTAACCTAGAAGCCGGGAAGGCCCAGTGATCTCCCTGTCTCCACCTTCACTCTGCCCCCATGTAAAACGGGGGTTTACAGGTGTACACAGGATGTCCAGTTTGTTGCATCTGGGCTGGAATCTAAACTGTTCTTAAGTAATTGGTCAGCCATCTTTGCAGCCTATTTATTTTTGGCAGAACTAAGAATTGAATTTAGGACTTTACAAGGCAATCTCTCAAATACTGGGCTATATCCTTAACCTTAAAATGTATTAAAAGTGTATTTTAACAACAAGAATGGTTATATAGCTCAGTGTAAAACACGTGTCTTGTATGTGTGAGGCCCTGGTTCGATACCCAGTTCCACAAATGTAGCAACTCATTCAGGTGAAATGGGGAACGGGTTCTCTTTTCTTCTTTGGAGTCGTGTCATAGTTTATTTTGTTTGACATTTTACCGTAGTATTTAACAAGCATACAGATTCAGTCTGATGCAAAATTCTTGTCATTTTCTCAAATGCTTTTTACATTTTACGTCTTCACGATAGAATGAAATTGAAATATTAAAGGCTGAAAATGACCGGCTGAAGGCAGAGACTGGAAACACAGCTAAACCTGCTAGGCCCCCATCTGAGTCCTCAAGCACAGCCTCCTCTTCTTCTTCTCGCCAGTCCTTAGGGCTTTCACTCAACAACCTAAACATCACAGAGTCTGTTACCTCAGGTAAGTCAGTGAGCATATGTGTGAGTGCGTGCTTGCTTGCAAACCTGGGTGCCTGCATGTCTGTCTGTCTGTCTGTCTGTCTGTCTGTCTGTCTGTCTCTCTCTCTCTCTCTCTCTCTCTCTCTCTCTCTCTCTCTCTGTATGTGTGTGTGTGTGCATGTGTATGTGCGTGCACATGTGTGTGCCTGTGTGTGAGCGTTGTGTGTATTTGTTCATATCCCCACATATTTATTCTTTACTCTCCTAATAGCTACTTGAGGGCATCCCAAGATCAGGAAAACCTTACCTGTCTTCAAAATCCTCACACCAATCCTCAGAAACAGCTAAAATGTATCCTAGAAATTCATTTGTTTTGTTTGTTTATTTAGCTCAGTAGTTCTGGGGAGATAGGGTGTGGCCCAGAACTAGCTATATAGACCATCTGGCTTTGAATACTCAGTGCTGTGCCTGCCTCTTCCTCTGGGACTTTTAAATAGTTTTACAAGAACATTCTGTAAAACAGAATCTTAGAGATATAGTTTTCTTATCAGTTTTCAAAAAAAAGTAACAGTGAAGTACTTCTTCTGATTATGAATAGGATGAATGAGAACAAATATTCTCTGGTGATTGATGTTTATGAACATAACAATAATAACTCCATGCCAGTTAATAGAGTTTTTCTTGAACAGAGCCAATTTCTAAATTTGACTGCACTCGCCTTCATGATGTTGGCTAGAGAACATAGCACTGCTGTACCAGCCATCCTGTTAGCTCTATTAAATTTTCAACAAAGGAAAAAAAACACGCTGGATTCTTATTGTACTCAGCATACAAATGATAGGACAAGGGTACACTTCTGATTCGATTTCAAGTAGAATCATATGACATAATTTCATCTTTGTATCTGATATATAATTCAATTTTAAGGTATAACTCTTCCTGGGACATTCAATCATTGACATAGAATTTCCTTTAGGAATTGTTTACATGGGTCTCTGTGGTAATTGCATGGCACAACCACCAGATGACACTGGAAACCAATGTTATACACGTTCCTGGGTAGCTAGACAACACTGTCAGAACCAAGATACTGAACTGTTTTCCCCAAATCACACCAAGATGCACAAGGATCTGAGGATGAGAAGAAGGAATATAAAGGAGTGATATTAAATGCTCTAAAACTGATTAGAATTTTATTAAATAACATCTTCAAATAAAGTCAGAATATCTAAAAATCTGTTTTGACGGTCTTTCATGATATAAAAGAAATACAATGAAAACACTTTCCTTTACTACATTTCCAGAAAAACAATTAATAGTTCTAGTAATTCAGACAAACAATAATTTTAACAATTTGGGACATGAGCTTATTGTTCCCCTAAACAGTTACAGAGAATTCATGACTAGAGCTTGTGTTCTGGGAATTGTTGCCTCGGGTGATATGGAAAGACAGAGTGAGAGATGCTATAACCACCCTACTGCTAAGAGGAGAATTTTCATATTGAACACACAGAGAAAGAAGTAATATTGCAGGCAGCAAGACTTATGAATCATGTAAGATAGGTGTTTTTTAAAAACCTTCTCTTTCAATACTCCCCTAAAAGTAAATAGTTTCCAACCTATTTTACACAGGAGTAAACCGAGTCTTAGGAAAGTGACTATGGTCACATTTCTCCTCATAAATAATGTATCCGGCAAGCAGAGGAGTAGTATTTAAGCCCAGATCTGGATAATCACTGGCTGGAGGTTTTACTTATTTTTGCCTTAATTATCTATCTATATAAAGCCAAAGACATTGTCCATTTGTTTAATGGTATGGTTTTACTCCATGTTGTCAGGAAAAATTTTGTATTTTAAGCTTTTAAGAGTTAGTATGTCATGAAGTGAATGGCAGGCTTGTGGGAACAGCAACTGAGGTATATCTGATTTGAAGGACAGCTACCTACTCAACATCATTGCAGAAGACTCTGTACCCCTCCTTGGTCTCTACTTTCTCTCTGTCATGAGCATGTTCCTAGAACTTCCAGATTTATTTTTAATAGGTGTGGCTTTATTCTCGGGTGTTTATATAGGTATCCCAGGAACCCAGACAAGTAATCTGAACTCACTATGTAGCAAAGTTTGACCTTCCCTTCCCAACTTCCCTATCTCTTCTTCACAAGTGCTGGGATTACAGGCATGTGTCGCTATGCCAACCTCATGCCCAACTCTTAAAATATACCTATATATATTCTTTCCACTATATGTTGTTTTTGTTGTTGTTGACTGACCCAATTTTTCCTTGCTTTTTGCTTGCCTATAACTTGTCAGCTTTCTGGTCTATGCACAGTGCAACCTCCTGAAGGAAGCTCTGTCAATCTAAGACTTTCTCCTGTCAGATCCTCTCTATTTCACCGCTTTGCTTATTTCCAGCACATTCTGAAATCACTTGGTTGAGAACATACATCCAGAGAAGAAAAGTTTATTTTTTTTTCTACTTTGATATGCATCTCAATGTCCAGATTACTTCCTTTTTTATGCTAAGTATTTACTTGATATATATGAATATTTATGAGTAACTGAGCAAGAGACTGAGGAGGAAGTTTGGTTATGAATGATAATAAGTTTAAATATGAGAAAACAATGGTGTGCTCCTCCAAACTTCCAAACTTGGAACAAAAGAATTGACGTAATTTCTAAGAAACAATTTTATGAAGCTCATTTTTCTATATCTTGATGGGATACATTTTATAGTTCACTATATATATATACATTTTTATAGTTCACACACACACACACATATATATATACATATATACATATATACATATATACATATATACATATATACATATATATATATATATATATATATATATATATATATATATATATACACACATATGTGCATTCTATAACCACCAGCTCAGGGTGATAAGCATTGCTGTCTCTTCAAATGTCAATCATTTATATCCTTTGAGAATTTCATTCTATTTGAGTCATTCTAAAAGACGCCATAGATTATATAACCCTTTAGTTTTCCTTTTAGTTGCTAAAGAACAACTAGAAATAATTCTACAAAACTTTATTTTTAAGAGAGTAGGTACAAAAGAAAAAGACAATATCATCATTGCTAAAAGAAAATATCATATATGTGGGATGGTTTTTAAACCACTCCTCCAAAGTGGATATTTATCTGCTATCACATATATTAAATTTTAATGTTTAACTGCATTTAAAATGTGGAGTTATAAATGTAAATAAGCATTAGCATACGTTAGTAACTATTAGAATATTACTAAAAACAGAATTTTAGTTTTGAAGCTGTCAGTATACAGGAGAACAATGAGTAACATGATTCTGTAGGTATGTATAATGCCAGGCTTAATAACATGCTGAATATCAGTCCCTAATAATGATAGATATAAAGCAAGGGCTAACACAGCTGTATCATGTATCAAATGCCTGAAAGGCATTTCGTTTGATGGCCACTCCCATATCAGCACCTTTGCATTCAATAAATGAGAAACTGCATTGCTTTTCAATTTGTTAGAGTTACAATAGTACCTGGACGTTACCAAAGTATTATCAAGATCTATCTATAGTAAAGCAAAACTCATTTCCTTACTTAAAGGCCATGGCCCAACACTTAAGTAAAGACCTTGGAGTGAATAAATAAATTCCTAAACTGAAATATGAGTCCCACTGCAGAACTCATCCTTTTGAGAGCTGAGCGCTGAGGATTTTTAACCAGTTAGGTTACCATGCGAAACAGGTATCACTGCACCATATTTACACTGTAGGAGGGAGAAAGGATGGACAGGAAACAGCTCTAAAATAATGTTACTCCATAGTGATTATTTCTTTTGAATTCCATAGATATTTTGCTAGACGACCCTGGTGATGCGACTGGACACAAGGACGGCCGCAGTGTGAAGATTATAGTCTCCATCAGCAAGGGCTACGGTCGAGCCAAGGTATTCCACTAAGCTTATATACAATCTCATTCTCAATAAGTCAAGAATGAGAAGTCTTATTGATTTAAATGTGTTGTATATCTGAGGGTTCGTTCTTGTTGATATCCAATTTCTCTGCCTTGGTGCCAGCCGGATATGGTATAGATGAAGCAAAGATAGAGACAATAAATAAATGACATTTCATTGCACAGATCATTAAAGATGCTGTGTGGTCATTGTACAGATGAGAGACTATAAGATAACAAACATTCTAGATGCTGGAGAGACAATCTACTGAAGTCAGTAAAGCAAATGCCATTTATGACACTTTCCACATCCTTTTAAAGCATAGTCCTTGCCAGGCGGTGGTGATGCACGCCTTTAATCCCAGCACTTGGGAGGCAGAGGCAGGTGGATTTCTGAGTTCGAGGCCAGCCTGGTCTACAGAGTGAGTTCCAGGACAGCCAGGGCTACACAGAGAAACCCTGTCTCGAAACCCTCCCCCCCCCAAAAAAAGCATAGTCCTACCTGATCAGGCAAGTGTTTAACTTCTGTGTACAAATATTATCTTCCAATTAATGTTATTTGACTCTGTGTTCTAAAAAACTCAAAGAACTTTTCAATTGAATTGTTACTTAGTAGCCCAGAATACATATTTGTATTTTTAATCAAAAATAAAAAAAATATTAAAGTTTAAAAATAATTAAAGTCCTCGAGTTTGAAAGTGAAATACTGCTTCCGAAAATGTTGCACATAATCCAGCATCATAGTCTTTTGCCTGAGCTACAGACTGGTGCCTGATTTTCACAGGTGGGCATTTATGTCTAATGGTCTCAGTGAAGCCTAAAGTACTTCTCATTGAAAAGTAGCTGTTCTCAAGCAGTGTGCATGTACCCATTTTCAGTGCCTAATAAACATAGCAGAAAGAAAGTATTCCCATCCAGAAGAGCCTAACTCATAATGTGTTTCAACATCTTTTCCCAGTACAACCCATGAGAGTTTTCTTCATACTCAAGGACAGCCACAATAAAGTGTTGTGGTAGAGATGGCTTTAAAAAGTTACTTTCTACCAGTTCCAGAGGCAGACAAGTCCAAGATCAAGCTTCTAGTCAACTTGGATGCTGGTGTAGGCACTGTGAGAGTCACCTCAGCTGAATGTCATGGTGCCTTTCCTCTGAGTCTCTGATAGGAAGAGAGAGGCAGTACCACTGTGATGTACTCACTCTCACAGTCTGTGCTGACCCTAAATGTCTCTGAAAGAATGGGTTGCTCTGTATCATTACACTGGAGATCAGGACTTCAAACAATTGAATTGGGAGAACATATTTACCTCCTAATAATACTAAAATGAATAATATCAAAACCACTTAGCTAAACATTTGCAAACTGTTTCTACATTAAAAAAATGACTTTTAGCTCGCATCTCTGTAAAAAAAAAAAGTGATGATGATTTCTTGTGTTAAATATTGTAGATAAAGAAAATGAGGGTTAGAGTCAGCTGAGTGATTGACTTCTGATATTTCTTAATGAGGTTGTAGATGTTACATGTTGTGGAATCCGTGCATTCTAAGTGCTTGGCTCAGTTATTATTTTACTACATTTTAATGGTCACTAGACTTTTGAAACTAGGATCTACCTACTGGTATCATAATTATTATACCATATAATTATTTCCACCTAACAAAAAAATAAAGAATATTGCAACTTAGTTGCAGTTGACAAGATCTTGAATTTCTCATATTCCTAGTGGGGAAAAAACCCTCAATAATCCATCCTGTAAATAATTTAGCTATGAGACCATCATTTCTACTATCAAAGTATGCCTCACAATGAGTCCTATAAGTTCCTCTTCTGTGTTCCTAGAAATTTTCTGACAAATTCAAAAATCACACCTGTTTGATCAAATTGGTAAATATATTACCCATAGGAGCATGAATAATCTTGTTGTTAATGATATATTGTCTTTTTAAATTCAAATTAAAAATGAAAACAGTGTACATTTTGTTTATCAAAGATAAAAAGCATAAAGTAATAAGACAAAGTTCTAGATTTGTTTGACAACATCTATACTGTCTTCTATGTCTTCCAACTGCTTGGGCTTTCAGAGAAAGAATGTGTCAAGTACATCTCTAGGAGAAAAGCAACTCTGTCTGATAGCTGTCATCTTCTCTTTCTTCAGTACAGCTTATGCACCAGGTTTTTTGTTTTTGTTTTTCTTTTTGCCTACTATGTCATCTGAGCTTCTTTTCATTTTTGTTGTTGTTCTAGGTATTACTTTATTTGTTTGGTTGTCTAACTCATTGGGTTAAATTTTATATAACCCATCAAAGACCATTAATGGGGTTCAACAGTAACCCCATTAATACATTTAATTAGGAAGTATAGTGATAAAGATCAAACTCTTGAGTATTATCTTTGTCTTGTTCTCCTTAAGGACCAGAAGTCTCAGGCATATTTGATAGGATCCATTGGTGTTAGTGGAAAAACTAAATGGGACGTCTTAGATGGTGTCATTAGGCGTCTCTTTAAGGTAAGTTTTTGAAAGTAGCTTGACATCAATTTTAATAGTTTCCCCTTTTACTTAACTTTACTTAACTTTCATAGCTTAGGTGCATCTGATTCTCCCCACCCCATCTCCACACAGAAAGATTTCTTTCCCAGTACTGTTTAATACAATTCTTGTTAATCTTTAAAAATGTATTTATGTGTCTGAGTTGTCCACATGTGAGTCTGTCCACCATATGCATGCCTGATGTCTGTGGCTAAAACATGACATCAGATCCCTTGGGTCTGGAGTTACAGATGGTTGTGAGCTGTCATCGGGGTGCTGGGAGTTGAATCCAGGTCTTCTGGTAAAGTGGCAATTGTTCTTAACCATGAAGTCATCTCTCCACCCAAAAAGTCTATAGCACTGGGTATCTGAGGTTGACTGGTCTCTCATCTAAGTAATAAAAAAGGCCCAACCACAGTAACCTCTGAGATCCAAGAAAATCACATACATTCAGGGTGATATGGCCATAGAGAAAATTGTGACTCAAAATTCTTAACAAGCAGTGTGCGTAATAGCCTCATGAATTTATATTTGTCGAGGAGGAGTAGAAGTTCTATTTTAACTTTTTCTTCTCTCTTTGGTGTGGACCATTTTAGGAATATGTGTTCCGAATTGATACATCCTCTAGTCTTGGTCTGAGCTCTGACTGTATTGCTAGCTACCGGATAGGAGATTTAATTAGATCTCACAACCTAGAAGTGCCTGAACTGCTACCTTGTGGATACTTGGTTGGAGATAATAATATCATCACTGTGAATCTGAAAGGTAAAGTGAAAAGTATCACCTTTACCTAGACCCTTCCTTTGTTTTTTGTGCTTACAGTTTGCATACGTTATAAACTGTATTGACCTCTGTCATAATTTTGGTATGAACTGGATTTATTGGTTTGACTAGATATATAAATTCCTACTAAAGCCATTAAAGTCCCAAGAAATTATTCTCTTTAGTCCTGTAATAAAGTTCTGAAGAGTCACCAAGACTTGTAGGAAAAGGGTAACTTAGGGGATTTCAGCTTCTAGACTTACTTTCTATATCATCTTTATAAGAAGAGCTTTCATTGAAAATTATTGTTTCCTGAACTAATGTATTTATCACTATATATTGGAGATAAAATATGTATATTCAGTAAACATCCACATTGGGGTAGAGAATGAAAGTCAAGAGCCAGGGATAATTTATGCTGCTTCCTGGGTTCTGGCTCTTATGACTGGTTATGACTGGTTATAGCTAATGTAACAGCTGCTGCAGGCTTGGCTCTCTAGTTTCTTGTTTGAATGTGTTCAAGAATGAGAAGGGGTCCACATAAACTGTGGGATAATAGAGGGAATAGTCAATGTTTGGTTTTATGATGAAAGTAATTGGGTTAGTAAAAGAAAACAATATTGCTCTCTTCTTAATCCTTCACCAAACACTGTAATTTGTATTTTTTTCCCAAGAGCTTAAAGGGTTATACCGCTATGGTGCTTTTATGACTGACAGAAGCTAATATATATGGGGAGGGGGCAGGGATTGTTCTTTTTAGTTTTGGCTTTTTGAAACTGGGTTTCAGCATGGAGTCTCTGCTGGCCTTGAACTCATATTGTCTTTCACTAAGCCTGACTCACTCCTCACGAAGCCATTTCCCCATCTTGCTTCTATAGAATGTTACACATCTTCCTGTTTAATGTAACCCTCTAAATACAGCTCTAAGACAAATTATTTATTTTTAATAAATAAATGATTAGCTTAACAAAATTAAATTTGTATCTTTCGTTCTTTAGGTAATAAAGGAAATACGCAACTGGCTGTAAAGGAAACAGCTTAGATTTTCACTGTATCGCCCAATCAATATGTTCTCTTTTCTAATTATACCCAATGCATGCAAGTCAGAAATAGCTACAAAATTATTTTGTAAGGGCTACATTTTTCTGACTAATGAGGCTTTATTTGGGCTTAATAATATATTTCAGTTATTCCCCAAAACAATAATGCCTATTATTCCCTTTGTTTCTCCTTTCAGGAGTAGAAGAAAATAGTTTGGACAGTTTTGTTTTTGATACACTGATTCCTAAACCAATTACCCAAAGGTACTTTAACTTGCTGATGGAGCACCACAGAATTATACTCTCAGGACCAAGTGGTACTGGAAAGACCTATTTAGCAAACAAACTTGCTGAATATGTAATAAGCAAATCTGGCAGGAAAAAGACAGAAGATGCAATTGCTACTTTTAATGTGGACCACAAGTCAAGTAAGGTAAGTCATAGATACTAAGGAAACAACCCTTATTTATCCAGAGGTGTCTTTAGCAGTCAAAGTTTAAAATTGTATGGAACTTGTATTTCACACATGAATATAATAACCATTGATGTTGTCCATTAAGATTATAATCTAGCAGATGAACAAACTTAGCTTTAACTAATGTGTATACAAAAGCTGGTTTGACTAACAGTCACTTACCATGTACCTAGAAAGGCACGGGGATTACATAGAATAAGTTATCAGAACCTCTGTTGCTGATTTCCCATAGACATACTTCCAAAAAGTGTTAGTCAAAAAAAAAAAAAAAAGGCAGCTGTTATTTATGGTGCTATGGAAACAAGAGAGTTAAATGACTCCACAGGCTGAACCAGGCTGTATGAGAAAACAGTATTTGGCTTAAGCATCAATAAATTGATGTGAATTAACTGGGACATCGCAGGAATCGGATTGATTTGGGAACAGCTGTAATAGCTGAAGAAAGTCTGGCAAAGCAGCAATTTGCTTGTATGGTATATCTAGAGAAATTCTGCTTGAGAAGTTTGCAACAGTGAAGAATGTTGCAGTGGACCACAGTTCTAATGTGCCACACTGATCTAACCAGTTCTTTTTTACATTGACATGTGAGGCTAGAAGACCTTCCCAGCACTTCAGTACTTATTAAAATACAGAGTGCTATAATCGGAATCAGGTGGTGGCTAACGTGGTCATAATGCTACACTAGTTTTACCAGTTCTGTGTATTAAAATCTCAGCTACTACTACCAGACTGTTCTTGGGAAAGTGCATCTGTCCTAACCACTATGTTGATAGAGTCCTAGTGAGAGAGGGTCATGCCACAGTTTTCAAAATGGCCTAATTGGATGATGTCAACTTGACAAGCCTTTCTGTATGTTGATCAATTTCTTGTTACCGTAACAAAATCACTGTGATAAACTTAAGAGGGATGGATGGTTTATTCTGTTGCACACTTTCTGAGAGTTCGGTTCCTGGTCAGCTGGGGCCATTATTGAACCTGACAATACGGAACATCATGGACACCAAGAGGATATGGTGAAGTGGAGATGTACATCTCATGATAACCAGAGATCAGAGAGAAAGAAAGGAAAGTTTTCTGAATAATAGAGATATCCTTTAAAGGTGTGTCTCAAAGACACTCTTCCATCAGACCTGCCCTTTGAGTCTCCCACCTGGTATCAACATCTCAGCAGATGGATCAATTGATGATATTAGCAGCCACTTGATACAGTCAGTTCCTTTAAGCCTGCCAATTAGCACATAAGTGCACAACAGCAAAGCCTTTGAGGAGACATAGAACATAATATCTGAGATTTACAAATTTTCAGAAGTACTGCTTCTCCTAAAGCCATTGAGTTCTTCAAATAAACCAAATATATAACTAAGTGAACAGACCCATCTCAGTGGGGTAGCTCATTAAATACTGGGGGGGATTAGAAACTATTACTGAATTCCTTTAGGCCTTCATTTTTGATTTCTAAACTTTTAAATGAAGAAATTGCAGGGCTGTGGTAAGAACTGAAAAGAAAATGTGTGTGGGTTTCTTTGTTTTTGTTTAGTTTTGTTGTGGCAGTAGGTTGATATACATACATATATATATGTATATATGTATATATATATATATATATATGTATGTATATCAAAGGTAGTACACATATTTAAAGCATACTAATTATTTATTATAGCCCTTTGACCCCAGTGAAAATTTTGTGCACAAGTACAAATCCTCTCCCCCACAGCACGCATAAACCTTGGTTCAAAATTATTCCCGAATGGTAATATACACACAAGATAATGGGTGTCTTAAACACACGCAGCCTTTAAATTTTGGATATTTATTTGGAATTCAGCATTATTTGAGCTGCGACTGTCTCACCTTTTGTCATCTGCTCTGAAGAGTGACACAGAAACTGAGGTGGAAAACCTGAGTCTTCTCTGAGCTGAAGGAGAAGGAGAGGGTTGCTCATTTGTTCCCATCTGCATGTGTAATGTCTCCTGTGATCCTCTTTCTTTATTTCTTCACATGAAAGCCTTTTCGTCTCTGAATTTTCCTTTCCAGTCAAAGATAAAAGAACCCTGAGGTCTCTTGGGCACACCCTATGTTCTCTTTGGTTTTTCCCCAATGTTGACATGCCAGAACTCCACACAAGTTCTTTGTTTTTGGAAAATAAAACAAAGGAAAAAAAGTGGTTAGAAATAAGGAGAAAGGATTCAGAAGAGGAGGCAGAAGCATTTTGATGAAGTGGAGGAGTATTTTGTATATGGCTGGAATCAAATTTACCAGCTCTAAAACTAAATGGGATTCAGTTTGATGATGTACAGTATTGTTGGTCAATTTGTCTAACAAAAATGTTCTCTTTTGAAAGATTGTGTGTGTGTGTGTGTGTGTGTGTGTGTGTGTGTGTGTGTGTGTGT